GCCCTGAGTCCCCTTCGGGGGAAAAGGGCGGCATATAAATATAATCAAATCAAATCAAATCAAACAATCTTCCTCCTTGATTGAGGCAAATCATTCCGGAACCCCAGATTCTTTCCCTTCTCCTTCCTCCCCCGCCCCTTGAAACAGACTATTTCAGTGTTCCTTTGAATTGTAAGGGGAGCCAGATTGATTTTCTTTGATGTTACTACCTGCAAAAATTACCTTCTTCGTTTAGGCCTTTTGAAGCTTGTACAACTTGCTGGGAAGCAGACCACAAATATCTTCACCGTCACTTATTCCAGAGAGCAGGAAGAAATTTCCCATCCAGCTGTGGGCTTTAAATCACATCTGATTCGTCTGATTGGAAATTTATGCTACAGGAATAAGGGTAACCAAGACAAGGTAAGCTAAGAGAATCGAAACACCTTGGAGGGCCAATGACACTTGAAATATATAATGACACTTATACCAATATGATGTTCTTCCTCATTCCCAAAAGGCTTCAAACCAGAACTAGGTTGCACATTTAGTGACCACTGATTCACCATGTTCGCATCCACCCGCTTCACACATACGCGCCTTCCGCGCATGCACCCGCTCAAAAAGGTGCCTAAATAGGACAGCATAGAGCTGGAACGGGTGAACGGGCCCACCCGCCATTTCCACTACCAGTTTGGGCGAACCGGTCCGAACCAGCTGAATACCACCTTTGCTTCAAACCATTTAATCTTCTGCTATCCAAGCTGGGATTTGGAGCACTTTTTTTAAAACTGCTGTTTTATGGTAATAATCATCCAGTAGGTTTCACAATATTCATTTGTGTTTATATATCATTGAATAATGAAAGATTCTTTACATGGTTTTCATGCCATATCGTAAGATGTATGAATATAAACCAAACATAAAACAGAATAAAAATAGCAGAAGAACAACCATGAAGTTCTTCTGGCATCAAAAGGGGAATAGTGTCCTGTTCTTCGAGATTATTATTTTTTTTTTACTTAATCCCTTGTATTTTTCATAGTTTCTCATCCCCACCTTTCAGGATTGCTCCTCCTTAACTTTCTGAGATCAGCCAAAGTTGGCTTTGACGCTGCTAACTGCTGAAAATAGTCCTCATTCCCCCGAAAGAAACATCTTCAAGACTCAGTAAGGCATGGGAAAAGGTTCACCCACAAATGCGCGCCCGACAAATGCGTGCCGACAAAACCGCCGCGACAAAACGGCACCGACAAAACGACTAAAGCGCGCCGACAAAAGCGTGCCATCGAAAACAACGCGAAAACAATGGTAACAACATTAACAACCCTAATCCTAACCTAAAAACCCTAATTGCGCTTTTGTTGGCGCCGTT